AGAGTGTGTATTTGGGTTTTGTGAGAGTTAAATGATTCGGCACATAGAAAGGGTTTGCTACGTATTAGCTGTCATCACTATCCAGGATCTTTTTCAGTCATGGATGAGGTCACAGTGCCACCCTGTGACCGTATCACGTAAGTGTACACGTACTAACTCCACCCTTGACTAGGTACAAGGCACGGCCTGGAGATCTCCCCATCCCCACCCCACCTGCTTTTCAAGTGCCACCTCCAGACACAGTGATGATGGTGTCCTCACCTCTCCTCGAGTTGAGTCCGGGCTGCTCACCACGGCTGACTCTGCCACCGCTGGGTGTTCTGCCAAGGCATTCTCCACCTCTGCCGGCCCAATGCGGTACCTGGAGGACAAAGAACATCCATTGTTCTGATAGATGCCAAAGCTGGGGTGCACTTCTTTCTCAAGCCTTGTCAGAGACCCATGACCTTTCTGTGTCATGGGCCCAAAATGTGAAGTTTGGCCATTCTATGCTGAGAAATACAAGGCTCAGATGTCCCCCAGGCCTCATCGCCTCATTGCCTCTTACGGGAGAGGAGAGAGGATGCTCCTTCCTCCCAGAGCTCTGGGAACTCAGTCTGAGCAGCTGACCCCGGCAGGTAATCTCTGGGGAACCTCAAACTTTGTCTTAAATATTTATGCAAAGTCTGCCTCTATTCTCCCATTATATTACATGCTTTGTTTTATTTTATTTTGTCTTTTGTTGTATATACTATATAAAGGTATTCAGTCTGATGCTTTGATAAACATATAGGTAATGAAATGGTTACTACAATCAAGGAAATAATTATATCTATCTTATCACGTGTGTCTGTTAAGAGCACTTAAATTTACTCTCTTAGCACGTCTAGTAAAAAAATAGTATATATATGTAATAGTATATATATATAGAGAGAGAGAGATGTACATAATATATACATATTTTTCAATAAGTTTTCTAAATTAAAAAAATAAATAAACTCAATTTCCAAACCAGCAGAGAGTGTAATGTTTATATTGCTGGACTCGTAGTCGACTGCAGTTTGAGTCCCAGATCCAGTGGTTTAAAAAACTCATGCCAGGCACATGTACATGTGCACTCAAGATCTTGAGAGAAGAATGGAGGAGAAGATATTGTGGCATGGCCATCCCTCCTGTGGAAGATTTCTTACCTTCTTTCTTTCTGTCTCTCTCTGTCTCTTCAGTGAGCATACACGCCCTATAGCAAAAATATCTTAAAACATCCAAGATTGTTACTCTGATATAATGTGTCTTTCTTTCTTTTTCTTTTTACCATGTAGAAGTTAGGGATGGGGGCTCAGAACCCTTGGTTCAAATCTAGATTCCACCCTGCACTATCTTTGAGACTTTAGGCAAATTTCTTCACGGGTCAGCAACCTAGTTTCCTCATCAGTATAAAAGGGATAACAATCATGTTTTGTTTCTTGTATTGAGAAGTGGGTTCTATAAAGCACTCTGAGAGAGTTTCAGGCAGTAAGAACCCCATTGGGATAGTCACCTTTTATAATGCTTCTATTTGACACCTCGTGCCACATTGAAGCACAAACATGAAATGAGCACCTCAAAATCGTGAGGAACAAAACAAAGTTTTCTATCTTCAAGCCACCCTCACTATCTTTAAATTCCATATCTTATTTTGGTTGCCCTTCCAGACCTTCTCCAATTTCATTCTTATTGATTCTCTGGATGTAGGGCTTGGGGAAGCTCCCAGACACTTGGGACCAAGGCACAACAGACATGGCTCTGCTCAGAATTAGGCTGAGGCTCCATTGCCTGTGCATGGAGAAGTGTCTTGGCAGGTAAGAGCCCATGAGGCACACGAGGGTGACAGCAACCGCCCAGCCAGCCACACCTACCCAGAGGCATTGATCACGTCATCGCTTCTGCCCAAGAACCAGAAGTAGCCATCTGAATCGACAGTCGCTCGGTCCCCTGTGTTATAAAAGTCCCCACATTCCACTTCAGCTGTCTTCTCTGGGTTATTCTGCAAGGCGAACAGAGACACTCTCTTGAAGGCAATGTGTTGAGAGATAATGAGCCGAAATCTTGGGTCTGAATCTTGCCTCTGACTTTTCTGGTACCTGGGCAAGTTTAGGAATCTTCTTGAGAATGTTCTTGTAATATGTGAGCACTCAGTGCATGGTACTGCTCCATTTGTGAACATCATTAAGCTGACTTTAATGACAATTTTTTAAAATTTATGATTAAAAAGTGTGTGTGCACACATGTAAGGAAGAGAAATAGAGAAAGAGAAAGACAGAGAAGAGAGAGACCCTGTCAAGAGATTATATCATAATTCCATTCCCCAGCACTCCAGCTCATTGGGATCTTGGCCACATACTGAGTATATTTTCAGGCAACTTGAGAGATCTGAACCCCTGGTTGGCCATGTGGCTTCCAGCACTGCAGTTCAGGCAGCTACCAGCAGCACCAACATGCTAGGTCTTAATGACTAACTTTAAAAGCAAAAGCTCACTTTAGGCATTCCACTAGAATACAATTTCAATTAGGGTGTGAGCCCTGTTATTTTATTCACTGCTTTAAGGTCAGAATTTGCACAGTGCAAGCACAGATAAACATTTGATGACTGGGGTCAGCAGAGAGCATAGCACTTGTATCACTGGACTCCCATATGGCCAACCATGGTTTGAGCCCCAGACCCAATGGCTTGAAAATCACACCAGCAGTATGTGAGTGCATGTCCAAGATCTTAGGGGGAGAATGGAGAAGAGATTGCGGCATAGCCATCCCCCGCAAGGGAATGATTTCTCACTTTCCCTCTCACTGTTTCTGTCTCTCTCTCCAGTGAGCATACATGCCCTATGGCAAAAACCTCTTTAGAAAACCATATTTGATGATATTCTTCCCAAAATACCATTTCATTTGATCTTTAGAGAAAGCCCATGAGGCTTATACTATTTTAAGAGCTATCAAAACAAAATTTAGCTAAAATAAAAGAAAAATATTTATTATAGCTTTAGTTACAACTGATTTTTTGTTATGAAAATGATACTATTTTCCACTTTGTGATAAATTTTTGTTTAAAAAAAAGGCGTTTTAGGCCCAGCGATGAGGTGTGCATTTCTTGCTCGGACACAGTGTTCTACTGGCTTGGAACACATGGGAGGCCCATGTGCAATTTCTAGTTCAACCTAAGGCTGGGTATGCTGGCTATGACTGTAATCCTAGCAAATCCAGGAGGCTGAGGCATGACGATTACAATAAACAGACTTTCTTTCTTTCTTTCTTTCTTTCTTTCTTTCTTTCTTTCTTTCTTTCTTCCTTCCTTCCTTCCTTCCTTCCTTCCTTCCTTCCTTCCTTCCTTCCTTTCTTTCTTTCTTTCTTTCTTTCTTTCTTT